CTGCCTCCTTAAAATAGAGTTGACCGTGATGATGCGAATGGAGTAAATCCTTTGGGACCTTCATTTGCTGATGTGGCACAACTCAAACTTAAGAGAAACAGCTGTAAACATCCATTAATAACTGGAACATGGAAGTACAAAGTATCCATCTCAGAAAATTGTCAAAAATGAAATGGAATGCATAAACATTGATAACGTAGGCATCAGTGAGCTGAAATTGACTGCCATTGGCCATTATGAATCTGACAATCACATGGTTTATGATACCAGAAATGACAAATTGAAGAGGAATGGCATTCCATTTGTAATAAAAAAAGAACATATCAAGATCTGTCTTGAAGTACAACAGTCTGTAATAGGCTAATATCCATACCCCTACAAGGAAGACCAGTTAATATCACTATTATTCAAATTTATGCATCAACCACTAAAGCCAGTGATGATGAAATTGAAGAATTCTACCAACTTCTTCAGTCTGAAATTGATCAAACATGCAGTTAAGATGTACTGATAATTACTGGCAATTGAAATGCAAAAGTTGGAAACAAAGAGGAAGGAACAAAAGTTGGAAAATATGGCCTTGGTGAGAGAAATTATGCTGGAGATCGCATGATAGGTTTTTGAAAGACCAATGACTTCTTCATTGCAAATACTTTTTTAAAATAACATAAAAGACGGCTATACACATGGACCTCACCAGATGGAGTATACTGAAATCAAACTGACTACATCTGTGGAAAGAGACAGTGGAAAAGCTGCATATCATCAGCCAAAGCAAGGCCAGGGGCACACTGTGGAAGAAACCATCAGTTGCTAATATGCAAATTCAGGCTGAAGCTGAAGAAAATTCAAACAAGTCCATGAGAGCTAAAATATGACCTTGAACATATCCCACCTGAATTTAGAGACCATCTCAAGAACAGACACTACAGACCGAAGACCAGAGGAGTTGTGGGGTGGCATCAAACATATCATACAGGAAGAAAGCAAAAGGTCATTAAGAAGACAAAAAAGAAGGAAAAGACCAAAATGGATGTCAGAAGAGACTCTGAAACTTGATCTTCAACACAGAGCTCTAAAGCAAATGGAAGAAATTAGGAGGCAAAAGAGCTGAACAGAAAATTCCAAAGGTCAGCTTAATAAGACAGCGTCAAATGTTATAAAGAAACGTGCTAAGACCTAGAGTTAGAAAATCTGAAGGGAAGAACATGCTCAGCCTTTCTCAAGCTGAGGAAATTGAAGAAAAAAATTCAAGCCTCGACTTGTAATATTGAAGGATTCTATGGGCAAAATATCTAATGATGCAGAAAGCTTCAAAAGAAGATGGAGGAAATAGTCACTATACCAAAAAGAAGTGGTCGATGTGCAACCATTTCAAGAGATAGTATAAGATCAAGAGTTAATGATATTGAAGGAAGAAGTCTAAGGTGCATTGAAGGCATTGACAAAAAACAAGGCACAAGGAATTGATGGAATATAAATTAAAATCTTTCAACAAAGTGATGATGCAGCACTGGAGGCACACACTCACTCATCTATGCCAAGAAATTTGGAAGACAACTACATGGCCAACTGACTGTAAAAGATCTGCCTTTATGCCCATTCCAAAGAGAGGTGATGCAATGGAATGCAAAAATCATCGGACAATATTATTAATATCACATGCAAGCAAAGTTCTGCTAAGGACAATACAAAAACGGCTGTGACCATACACTGACAGAGAACTTCCAGAGGTTCAAGCCAGATTCTGAAGAGGATGTAGAATGAGGGATATCACTGCTGACGTCAGATGGATGTTGGCTGAAAGTAGACAATACCAAAAAGATGTTTACCTGTGCTTTACTGAGTACGTAAAGGCTTTCAGTTGTGTGGAACGTGACAAGATATGGAAAACATTGCGGAGAAAGAGTATTCTAGAATACTTAATTGTGCTAAGGAGGAATCTGTACATAGACCTAGAAGCTGTTGTTGCAATAGAACAAGGGAACACCGAATGGTTTAAATTTAAGAAAGGTGTACACCAGGATTGTTATTGTTTCACCATACTTATTCAATGTGTATGCTGAGCAAATAATCTGAGAAGTTGGATTACATTAAGAAAAACATAGCATCAAGGTTGGAAGAAGACTCATTAACAACCTACAATACACAGATGTATTGCTTGTTGCAATATGTAAACATTAACAACCTGCAATACACAAACCTTGCTTGCTGAAAGCGAGAAGGCTTAAAATACTTACTGATGAAGATCAAAGACTGTAGACTTCAGTATGGGTTGCATCTCAATGTAAAGAAAACAAAAATCCTCACCACTGTGTATCAATAAACAATGTCCATATAAATGGTGAAAAGACCAAAGTTGTCAAAATAAGGTCATATGCATGTGAGAGTTGGATAGTGAATAAAGAACGTAGAAGAATTGATACATTTGAGTCATGGTACTGGAGAAGAATATTAAAAGGACCATGGGGTGCCAAACACACAAATCTGTGTTGGAAGAAGTACAGCCAGTGTGCTCCTTGGAAGCCCAGATGGCCAGTCTTTGTGTATCATACTTCACATGTACTATCAGGAGGGACTAGTCCCTAGAGAAGGATATGATTGGTAAAGTAGAGGGTCATAGAAAAAGAGGAAGACCCCCCCAACAAGATGGATTGGCCAGTAGCAGCAGTAGTAGGCTCAAACATAGCAATGCCTGTGAGGTTTGCGCAGGACCAGGTAGTATTTCATTCTGTTGTGCACAGGCTCATTATGAATTGGTACTGATTCGGCGCTTAATAACTCCTTTTCATGTTTCAATATTCAGTATTCTAGTGCTATCTGATAGTGTTCCACTGCTATTCATACGGTTTCCAGTAGCTAAAACATTTAAGAGTATCCAACTCTTCTTCTTCCTAGTTTGTCGTAGTCTGAAGTTCAGTTGAAACCTGTTTGGTATATTAAATACTGGTGGCATACTTTCCAACATCACAGTACCATGCAAGTCACCATAATATTATAAATTGACATAACCTAATCCTGCCTTATTAACAGAGGTCAGGATTTATGTCATATCACAAATGGCAGATAATGACATCATATCACATCATAGGGGATGAGTGTATTGTTATAGAACTGCCAAACCACTGAGAATTATGAGCCATTCTGATGATGGACACATACAACCCAGGAAAGGAATTGTTTCTAAGGGCTTTTTTTTTTTTTTTAATTTAAGATTTTTATTGTGAATTGAGTGAAAGTTTACAGGGCACATCATCAGTTTCATATTCAACAATTCATATAACTTGTTTCATTA